CCAAACCACTCAACATTTAGAAATTATGAAGCTTCCTCAAGCTTGAAGGCAAGCTGAAGGATTTGTTTAATTCAAGAAAGCAAAGACTGAAGGAAATTTGATCTGTGTCTTCTACGTACATAAAGGTCTTAAAAATAGCATAATTCAGAGCAACAGGATCTTACTTGAGAAAAATATTGTCTCAGGATAATAATTAAGCATTATTAGAGACTAATTGATATAGGTGCTGAATTGCACCACTGAATGTTCCCAAAAAGCATCTGTTAGGATCAGTCTAGATAAGACTGAGAGCTGGAAGACACATCATTTGGTATTCCAGACTTGTATTTCTATACTTAATTGTACTTGTACGCTATCTCAAGACTGTTTGCAGGAATAAACAATTCATTTTAATTATCAAAACAGGTATTACGTTAGGATATTGGCTCCCCATGAGTCATTTCCTGCTGTGTACATGTCAACTTCAGCATCATAGTCTGTAAATCTGCCAAGACTGGAAAACTATGAAAATAGTTCTTGGATCTTTTCTTTTCTCAGGTTACTCAGTTAACTCTATTTAAAAGGTGGGATTATGAATCATTCAACCTTTTTCTAAGCTTATTCATAAGACCAAAATAATATTTGCTTACTTCCATTAGATTTATTATTTATAATATTTTTTAAAACTAAAATGTCATAAAAAACCAAACTACTATAAATTTGTGTGCATATGGAGAGTTACACCTGCCACCTGGCTTCAGCAACAATTCACCTTACAACCCTTCAAACCTTGGAGGAGAATATATGGCTGAACACTACCCTTATGTGCTGTATGGGAGTCAATTAGAAGAGTAACTGGTTTCCATTGCTAGGAGGTATCTGAACACCCAGCTACATTTACAAATATCTAACCAAAATATTTGCCCAAAACTGCAAATACAGTTGTTTTCCTGTGTAAATTATGAGTGTAGTAAGAAATGCTCAGTTCTGCTCAGCAAAACACCAGTTTAACCACTAACTTCTGACTAGACATCCATGTGGTTCTGCTCTCTTCAAATTATACATGCTTAAAATTAGATTTGTCCTGCGACTTCATGTTCTGAACCATTAATACACATTTCTAAACAGAATTCTCTCAACAGATACCAGAATGCTTCATAAAACAAGAGAAAAGCCAACTCATTAGGAAGAAGTGATTTTCCCAGTGACACAATGATGAGGCTCACTGTCCCTGTGAGGAACATGGTCTGTCATTCACAACAGTTCAGCTCTACTTGAGGAGTAACTAGGGAACTAGCACTGAGTTAATTATGACACCAAGCTGGAGTCCTCAGTCCTGGCTTGGAAATCAGAGAACCACAGAATCAGTAAGGTTGGAAAAGACTTTTAAGATCTTGTCCAACTGTCAACCCAGGACCACCACCATGTTCACCATTAAACCAGGTCCTCAAGCATCACATCCACATGTTTTTGGATGCCCAGAGATGGTAACTCCACTTCCCTGAGCAGCCTGTTCCAGTACCTGACAATCTTCCCCATGAAAATAATATACAATTCCTAATATCCAATTTAAACCTCCAGTGGCACAAAATTGAGGAATTTTCTTTCATCCTGTCACTTGTTTCTTGGGAGCAGAGCCCTGACTCCACCTTCCTTTCAGGGAGTTTTGAAAACAAGAGCCCCTCAGCTCCCTCAGCTGCTCCTCATCAGACCTGTGCTCCAGACCCTTTCCCAGCTCTGTTCCCTTCTCTGGACATGGTCCAGCACCTCAGTTTCTATTTTGTCATGAGGGGCCCAGAACTAAACCCAGGATTTGATGTGTGGCCTCAGCCATGCCCAGCACAGGGGGACAATCACTGCCCTGGCCCTGCTGCCACACCATGGCTGGTGCAAGCCAGGTGCCATTGGCCTTCTTACCCACCTGGGCACAGCTGGGTCACGTTCAGCTGCTGTTGATTCACACCCCCAGCTCCTTTTCCAGCTTTCCAGCCACTCTTCTCACAGCCTGCTACACTGCAGGAGTTGTTGTGACCCAAGTGCAGGACTCAGCACTTCAAATGAGGAGTGGGAAACATATTGTGGTAAAAACAAAAATGTCCTTTCTTTTCCAGCTCCTGACTTAATGAAATTTTACAAAAAGATACCATAATTCCAAACAGAAACAGCTAAATGCTTAGGTCCTGATTCTTAAATAGTGAGTGATCCAACAGGTGCAGGTTGATGATGCTAAACCACTGCATAATGTTGGTATTTTTGCCTAACACAAGGTGTTTATTGCTCAGGGTAAAGAGTTACCTTCCTTCTTTTGGGAACTGTGCTCCTATGGCACAAATGAGTATAGAGCGGCTATAATCTGCAGTCAGTATCGGGTCATTGAAAAAACAGAATGGCAATAATTTTCTTCTGAAAAGAAAATTGAAGGACTAGTCTTTAAATAACTCAAGCCTCAGGAAAACAAAAAAGTTTAAATTTTCAAAGAAACCTAAACCTTCAGAACAAACATGCTGCTCAACAGGAAAATACAGTGTACAGGTGAGAAGGCTGGACCTTGGAGCTATGATTGGGTTAGGCAGTCCTGTGCACTCAGTAACACAGCTTGTGTGCCAGTCACATTTCTGTGCAAATTGCAAAGGTTTTTGTTTGAAGAAATTACAGCGTTATTGAAAAGGCATTAAAGTGGCTGTGACAAGCCTGGACGTGCTGGAGTCACACAAACAGATTCATGTTGTTACATGCTGCATTCTGCTGTTAAAGGCACAAGGAATTTCTTTTTTACCTTATGTCACATCCTGAAATAGTCCACTGACATGACATTGTTACCAAGAACTGATAATCAGTGAAAAATTAGTTAAAGTGATGTGAACATTTTCTTGGTGTCTAATGAATGGACTACTGTAAACATTATCCATCCAGCTGCACTGTTAGATACCATTTAATATTCCCACTTTCTCTGGTGTTCAGTCCTCTGACACTCACGTTTCCAGTCATTCACAGTTTTATTAATGCTACAAGCCAAGGGGGGAATAAATAGTGGCAGAACAGTCATGATCACTATTGTCCCACAGCACAAGTGCTGCTGTCACTGTTAGTGTCTGCAGGAAAGTTCAAACCCAGATGAAACCAATTTCAGAGCAACACTGGCCTCAGGTGGAACAGAGACCATGTGAGAAGGGAACCATCACTGAATAATATTTATTGACACAACTGAGATATTAGTTCCATGTGCAAGAAGCCACAGCCCTCAGGGATATCACTACTCATTTTATATATTATTCTGTGACCTTCCATTTTACAGGCTGACTTTTGTTATCTAGATAACTGAAGAGAGCAAAGCTGGATCTGCATTCCATGGAATTACTACTTTATTGCCTTGATACCAGAAAGATAGAAAAAAAACAAAACCAGAAACTAAACATCATCAAATTCTCAAGGAGTAAAGCACTGTAACAGGAGTTCAGTTCAGCCACCTACCCAGCAGTACCCAGTGCCCTGCATGGATCACCTGAGAGCCTCATGTCTCAACCTTTCAGCCAGGTAGGGATATCTTGGGGCTCAAGGACATCTCAAAGACACCAGGCTGTTTGGCAAGTGAAGAGAGCAGTTTGCCTTTCTCTCTGGACTAGCTGATAAGAACCTTTATGGGATAATCAGCTACTCTGCACAACAAAAGCAAGGAAAAGGACTTCCTCAGACCTTGTCCATGACAGTTCTGTTCAAAATGCCTCTCTTCTCACTTTTCAAATTAACCCAAGCAACTCTGCTTGAATGGGAACATCTGCACACATTTCTTATTTTCTCTACAGGAAAGGAAGATAATAACATTGTTAAAATAAAATAAAACAAAACAAAATAACACTGTTATTTTGAAATAAGAGGAATATGAAAGAATAAGGAAATTAAAGAGATTTTAAAGCCAAAATAAAGCTCACAGGTTTCTAACACCATGTAGTTGCTAACAAACAAAATGTACTCAATTGCTGCAACTTTTAACACATACACAGGATTACAGGCAGGAATATATAATAGAACTAATGCCACAGCTCTTACTTTGACCATATAATCAACATATTTTTAGCAATGACAATGATCCAGTCATAGAAATAGGAAAGGTGCTGTTTCAGGGAGTCATTTAAACAAATAATAACTGCTGAAAACTCTTCCCATTATGTGTGGTGATAAAATCTCTTCTCCTGCTTCCAAAGCCCCCATGGAATCGAGAAACAGATTTTGATAATATTATTTATGTTGAAAAGTGACAAACTTCATGAGGCTTCTCTTGAAATAACAAAACATTATAATCATGGTGTATTGTTCTATTCAAGGTACACAAGATCTTGAACATCCTTATATAGTTAAAAAGAAGGCACTCTCAGGCTTAATAAATGTTGAGAATGGTTAAATACAAGTGTTTTTATGAAGGGAATTGTAGTGTTTATTCAAGAACATAGGAGCTTACAGTTTTGAAACCTAAGTAATCCTTTATAAAGTAAGAAAATATGTGAAAGCCCTCTCAGTAATTTATACCTAACTGGAAATTAATGAAAATATGTGTTGAAATTGTCACAGAAATACCTAAATCTAAATATTGAAAGAAATAAAAGAAAAACATCTTTCAGGGATGAGCATTATTTAAATGATATATTCAGTTTTATTCATAGCATTCATAGCTATTACTTTTGAGCTCTCAGCTACTAGATAGTGAAGTGCAGGGATAGCTGAACCAGCTCAACTAAAAAGTAGCAGCCTAGCCTGCTCTGTAAAAGCAGAGAGATTTCCCAGAATAAATTAATTGTAGCAACCATCAGAATACCTCTACCATACTTCCACCTGAATGAAGAAACCCCAGGCACTTCCACACAACACAAATCACCTCTTTCTCTGCTTAAAGATGCAAGAGGTAAGTGAAGGCTCCCTGCAGCAGAATTGGGAGCAAAGCAGTGGGTATCTGTATTTCACTGATTTGGAGGACACACATTGGTTTGGGGTTTAAAACTAATTCTTAGGAGCACCCAGGTTCTTACCTTTACAAAAATGGAAATCTCAAAATCTTCCTGAAAGTTGCTACTTTCTCCAAAGTTATTGTTAAGCGGAAGCTTGAGGGAAGTTGAAGAGTTGGTAAAAGTGCTCTGTCTCTGACGAGACTGGAAATCTGGAGGAAAATGCAGGTTGCTCTCAAACACTGTGCTCTCTACGTCCTTATCTTCCAGAGTTGGGCTCATCAGATCCATCTGCTGCTGTGGGCGCTCTTCTTCAGCACTATGGTGAGATGAAGAGTCATTTTCTCCATCACTTCCATGCTGAGAGGCCACAGAATTATTACAGCTATCTTCTGAGTTTTCTTTACTACTATCCGTGTTTTCTGGAACATTAGTGATGGAAAAAGGGGATGCTGAATCTGCAGGGACATGATCAGAAAGATCACCCCCTTTATTTTCCTCAGAATCTGAAACCTCAGAGACAATGGTGTCGTTAGCATTTTGATTGATGTCAGTGAAGACTGGATCTTCCATGGCTGCTGGGTGGTGAGTTTTGCCTGCCTGCTGGTACCTTACAGACTACAATTAAAGTGAGATGTTGACAGACAAGGCTCCTTAGGAGGAAGCAGAGTCTGTGGTGTACTTTCTGAATGCTCAGCTACACACGGCAGATCTCCAACAATCATTTACTGAGAACCTTGAATCAACAACTGCACTTCCACCGAAGTAAAAGGCTGTCGCATTTTTAACCCCTTTGTCGATCTGACTCTTGGGAACAGTATCTCAGGAGCTGTAACCAATTGTTCCTCCAGATGTTGCCTGGATAAGTATAGGGAAAAAAAGCTGAAGAACTATCAGCACTAGAAAGCTACAGTAAAAAATAAGTGTTCTTACATAGGAAGTCAAAAAGAGTTCTACTGGAAATCTTATTTATGTAAAGAGGTAGAAATGCAGACTTTATCCACTTACCCATATTTTCAGCACATAAAAATTTCAAGGAAAAACAAGGTAAAATGTCCTCAACAATACAAGCAAACATCTGCAACATTTTAGTGGTTACTTACAAAATCATCAACAACTGATGACCATTTATAAAAAAACTACAAAAAATTATAAAGAGGGAAATTTTAACTCTTTCCAACATTGCCACTCATTCACTTTGGATTCCACACATTTCATATTTGGCATTGTCCTCCTCTCAACTATAAACTAGGGCCAAAAACTGTAAAATCTCTCATAAGCTGCCCTGGGAATATAGGAAAAGAAAGCAATGAAGAAGTATTAATTGTGATTACATATACATAATGCATCAATTATAATCACATTTAGGTTATGTATCTCCATGTCATAAGACATACACTATAGAAATCTAGTTTACCACCTTGTGTATACAGTTCCTTTTCTCTAATGAATGGAGAGACACACCAAACTGCACAGAACCTAAAGTGGGTGAATACTACCAGTTTTAGCATAGGATTAACTACTCTCCTAAAGACAGATACACATTCCAGAGCAACTGAATTCAGCGGAGCTGAAACTCCTGGAAGATCCAAACCTGTATTTATCAAACTGTTATAAAGTTTCCAATTTACTAAAGTCATGAGAATTTCAGGCCTTATTGACTAAAGAATTTTTATCCCCATGTTTACTGCATCTGGATTACATAGATTATTACAAGAATTCTTATAAACTAATTATATTTAATATTTTGTAGTTGAGTCAAAAGGAAAATTAAGGTATTTTCATCCTGACCCATCTTTGTAACTTCCTGAGAAGCAACTGCCATAGCTAGGTTAGATTTCTTAAAGAAATAAAGAAAAGAAGAGAAAGATGGTAATTCAAGCCATCCCAGACAGAACACAGGCTGTTTCACAGGCCAGAGTAGCAGGTGCTACCTGCCTGGGACTTATGACTGTAGTCAACTGCCATTACTCTTATATTAAGAAGATTAGAGTACTACTAAAGTTAAATATCAAAAGCAAAACAATATTTCATGTTAATTAAATTTAGGGGTGCTAGATAACCTGGAAAGTGCCAAGATCATGGTCACAACCAAGTTTAATCACTGTGACTGTACAGTACCAAGATGCAGGTAAGTGTCAGAGATCAGTGAGATCTCTTAGCTCACGAGGGTGTTTCTGGCCTGATACAACTCAAGGACTTCAAGGATACATTACCCATTATCAAGGCCTAACTTCAACTTTTACTGCCCCCACATTTTTGTCTGGCACAAGTGGTCCATGACCAAAACAGGATGGAGCACACCTCTTTACATTAGCTCTATGTAACTCAGCCACTATTCCTCACATGGAAATCCTAACTCAGAGATTGTGAAATGTGTGCTGTGTAATCTGTCTTGCAAACTTCTAGCACTCAAGACCAAGGGTAATGATAGGACTGATTTAAAATAATGAACTTAAATTACTGAAGTTCAAGAAACTTCAGAAAAGCAATAAACCAGCTGGTAAGTTTTATAAATTCAACTTCTTTTAAGACTATTTTCCACTTCTAAGAAAACACTTGGATTTCTTCATATTTTGTAGAAAGACAAATATATTTCTGCCTGGGTCTGTTCAGCCTGATCTGAGCTTGACTTTGATCAGCAACTCCCACTGATCTTCAACCCCTTCTTCCAGAGTGCTTGCAGGATTAAACTCGCTGGGATCATAAAAACTCCCTCCTTAATAACTCAGCTGGCAAACAGTTTGAGGAAAAGAAAGAACACAGAAATATGCATGACACAAAACAAAGAACAAAGTCCAGCTGTAGTCCAGTCCATGACTTTTTTTTTCCATCCACAAACACAACATTTGCAGGATGCAGCAGCACCTGCTGGAGGGTTTAAAATATCACAAGTAAGACAAGGAGTAAGAGTATAAGGTGAGTATTATTTTAAAATAAATAAGAGTTGATGTGGGTTTCTTTATTGTGAGTTATCCAAGTTCTTCTTTCCTCTGCCTCCCTCCAAGAGCAATGAAAATTATCATTAAGTGTCCAATGAAATGGAACTTCTCTCCTGCACAGAAGTGAGAGGGGAAGAGGTTGTATGAGGCAGGAGAGCAAAAAAAAGGTCTTAGCACAACAAAATCCCTCTGACAAACAGCCCCACTCCAAAGCCATGAGAATGCAAAATTACAAAACACAGATCACCAATTGCACCCATTCTCTAAACTCCTCTGCTCCCAGATCTAGAAGGTGTTGAGTTAATGTGGAAGTTATTAACACAATACCTTCTGCTGCTAATTCTGTAATCCAAGTTGTGTCACTGACCATTGGACTCTCATGAGCCATTGGTGATGCTGGTCACTAGCTTTGCAGAAACACAAAGAAACAAAAACCATAAGCAGAAAAGTTCATAAAAGGACAAAAATATGAGCAATAGTACTCCTCATTTTCAAGAGAAGCTTATTTTTTACTTTATGACTGAATTTCCAATTTTACTTCAATTTTATTCTTTTTAAAGGAAGACATACCAGAATCAATATAACTACAAATCCACTTAGCATACTTAGACACTTACCGTTTTGTTAGTGTTCAGCACCTGGAATAAGCAAATCACTGTTTCTTTCTACAGTCCAGTGGACAGTGAGGAGCACCTCAAAGTACATCATAAAAAGAGATGGAAATAATTATATCAAAAGGAGATTAAGATGGTCTTTAATACAGCCCAGTTATCAGAACTCCCTACAATAGATGTGTCTGTTTAGACAGCAAGGAAGCTATTAATCTACATTTAGAAGCCCACAAATGGACATCAAAACTGAGGCTAGGAACCCAGATAACTGCCTGGTTCATTCTGCAGAGACACACAGAGCTCCGTTCAGCAGCTCTAACATACAGAGACATTTATTAGTATTTAAGTTGTTTGCTTAGAGCAACTTGATTTATCTGAAGGATAAGGGCTCTGACACACTCAGACTGCTGAAGCAACTATTGGAACTTTAGCAGTTCACCCTGAAACCCCAACAGAAATCAGCACCTCTACCTTGCACCAATTTTAAAATGACAAGCAGAAGACTGACTTATAAAGAAATTCCTGAATTTCTAGTCAGTTATCCCTCACCTCCAGAGCGGAAGAGAAGGGTAGCAAGAATGAAGAGTAACAAGAATATCTTGACAGAATACTTCACATATTCTCAGAGATTAAGAATCAGAGGCAAAACCCCACATTACACTATTTAGTACAGATTCCCAAGAGTTCTACCTGGGTACACCTTTATTGAAGCAATAATTTGCACATATTCTAGACATTCCATAATATTGTAAACTTCAACCCATCCATCAGTGCCACAAGTAGCTTCAGTGGTTCACAGCCCTGTTTAGAAACAGCAATCTGCTTCTACTGGAATTTCTCTGGTCATTTTCAGTTGGATATTCCTATAATTATAATGGTTTACTAAAGGAGTCCTTCAGTTTTATTTGTCCTTGATGAAGATACTTGCATGCTTTAAGCAAAGAGCCTGTAAATCATTCCTCATAGCCTAAAGAAATTGAGGTCCTTCAGTTGCTTGCTCTAAAGTATCTTTTTCGAGACAGAAGACATGCAAAAAAAACTCTGAATATTTAAACACTGAGAGTTCTTGGAAACAGCCAAACGTGAAACTGAATTATGATAAACAAAGTTGACTGTCCCTCAGAAACTGAAGGCTCTTAGCATCGTGGATCAGACCCTTCATTTGCACTTAAGTCCACTCAATGCAAAATCATGAATGTTCCTGGCCATTCAGGATGTTGGTTTTACCAAAAAAAAAAAAAAACAAAAAAAAACCACCAACAACTTTTTTCCTTCATAAAGCTCCAAAATTTCCAAAGCTTTGCAACATGCAGTTCAAGGACATTATCAAAACTACAGTGTGGGCTCTGGGAGACAGACTGTTCATGGTTTACAGACATACTAAAAGATTCTTGCAATAAATTCATACCACTTTGTTTTCAATCCTGGCCACACTCAATGCCTGGATGAAATCAACCACAAACAAACTCTTGCACCATTTCCAGACTCAGCTTTTATTTTTGTTGTTAACAGCACCTCATCTCTACACAGTTCATCAACAGTAATCCTCTATCCACTCCCAATCCTGCACTAAACAGCACCAGGACAAAACTTTATCCCACATTTTGTTCCTTTATCTGTATCTATTTCTACTGCAGTAAGGAAAACAAACACACCAAATTATTTCAGTAGACAGTGGTTTGGTAGATGTCGAGGATGACACATTTCACACAGGAGGCAGCACATCCTTGAAACAGGCATCCAGATATCCATCTGTTGTTCTGCTAAAACTGATCTGGATTCTTCAGTCTTGAGGGACTGGTTCATAAATCCAGGACCCTCCTGTAGTAATGATGATTCACCTTCACCCAGATTTCCTTTGCTGCTGGTTGCATTAAAAACATATTTAAAGCAAACACATCCATAAACTTCACTCTGCATATAACAGACATTTCTCCACTGGGAACCAGACAAACAATAGAAAATCACTTTGCACAGGACACTCAATTCTCATCAGCTGTTATCAACAGCTTTTAGTTGT